CCTGCTGCAGCCCCTGAGGGTGGAGCGTCTGCGGCCCCGCCTCCCCTGTAATCCCGCAGCGACGCCCTTCCCGTCTCCCGCCCCTTGGCCGCGCGCAGTGCGCCGGGCGCCTTTGAAGTACACGCTTTATTTCCTTCGACCAGCTTTACACGGACCGGCTGATGGGGCCGGGGGAGCCCAGTGGGTTACAGGCGGGCGTTCGTGGGTTTCCCGCGGGTCTGCTCCGGGAAGGGCCGAGGGCCGGTGCCTGCCCCCCTCACTGGGGCACCTCCAGGACGATCTTGCCCGTGTGCTTGTTACTCTCCATGTACTTGTGGGCGTCTTGGATTTCAGCCAAGGGGTAGACTCTGTCCAGAACCGGCTGAAGACGTTGGGGGTCCCCCGAGGAGAAGTGGGGCACAATTTGCTCCGTAAAAGCCTTCACCAGCACCTGCTTGTACTGAGAAGGCAGAGGGGGCCGTCAGCGGGGCCGAGGCCCGCCCGAAAGCGTGCGCGCCCCGGCCCTTCCTGCGCGGCCTGCGTGCGCGCCCCCAAACGTGTGCCCCCCGATCCGGGCCGGAGAAACGCTGAAGCCCGGGGGAAACCCTGGCGTCACTGACGGCCCGAGGGCTGCTTTTAACACAGGCTTCAGGCAGGAGGCAGCCACAGGCAGCCTTACACAGGCTCCCTTCAGAGGGCCGGTCAGGCTCTGCACCCCCGCGGGTGGGAACCCCTGCGCTGGGAACATTCCTAGAGCCGGCACAAAGGTTTCAAGTTGAAGGGAGAGGCTTACGTACCTAAGAGGCTTTCTCAGCATACCGAGAAGAGTCCTGCCTTTCAAAACAGTCTTGGAATTGCCAAAAATATTCCCTAAAATGGCTCATTCTGTTAGAAAGACTCCCCAAGCCTCATGTATGAAGTGTTCACTACCCTCTTTCCAAGATGTCCAGGCTTCTATGGACCAATTTTAATTAGTTCTGTGAAAGTAGGTTAGCTGTTTATCCACAGAGGGGCAGATTTCTACATGGGCTCCCTAACTTATGATGTAACAAATCTTCCCTTCTTTGGGGTTATGAAAATGAATCACACTTCTCTAGGTAGTAGTTTTCTTTTCTCTCATCACTCACCTTTTTGTCCCTAGATCTCAGCAGACTGGTGANCCTAGGTAGTAGTTTTCTCTCATCACTCACCTTTTTGTCCCTAGATCTCAGCAGACTGGTGACCAGACTTCCTCGTTTAAAAAGAAGCTTTGAAAACAGAGGCCCGCTGACATCAGCTCCTCCCATCAGGCCATAGAGAACCCAGCGACCATCAACAGCCAGGCAGTTGACGTTTTTTTCCCAGTAGGATCCTCCTATGCAGTCTAGAATAAGGCTGACTCCAGCGCCTTCCACATGAAACACAATTTGCGATGCTAGTCAGACACAGAAAGCTTGGTGCAAAATAAGGTTTCAGGGTATATTTGTGGGTATAAACAAACACAGGTGCAAGTGGTAAATCTATAGATTGGAACTAGAAATACTGCTTATAGAAACGTTGTTGTAAATGGAGTTTAGGTAGCTGAACTCTACCATACATGTTTGAAATAATTCATCTTTTATGATCTCTAGCCACAGCAAGAGGGAAATGGGGCAACACCATGATCTAGTATCTTCCCTGACTCTCCACGTAAATAGAGAACCCACTGGCACCTGGGCATGAGTGTGGCCAGAACAGGGGAGGTCCACTCCAGGCTTCAGGGCAGGCTAGTAGTTCACATCTAAGTTATGAAGCATCTGCACTGGGTTGTTTAAATTATAGCTTTACTAGCTTTGGTGCCATCTCTCCTTTTTGATTTCATGTGGAAAAATGGGAAGGGATGTGTCCAAAATACTCAGATTTGGCTTTGGAATACAGAGGCTCATCCATTTAGGAAGCTACCTCCCCAACCCTACTATAACCATCTCCATACCGGTCTCTGCTCTATGTCTCTCTCCTCTTAACTCGCTGTGTGCTGGCTGGCTGGGAATAAGAGGTCCTGGCTAATTCCAGGCCAACTCTGCGTGATTATCCAGTTTCTAAAACGTGTATGAATCACATCACAAGAATACACATGGAAACTGTCTTCATCCTAAATGCTGCTTGCCTGTCTCCGAAGGTCCAATACCAGAGTGCCAGAACTTGGCCAGGACAGCTGCTGTGCATTTAGCAGAGGCAAGACAGATCTAGAGCACTGGCAACCTTGAGGCTGGTGAGGAATTTATTTAATCATCCCTAAAATTCCTGCTGAGCTGCAGAAGCTGTTGTTTACCTTTGGTGAATTTCATTGTTGCTTCAGAAAAATCCTCTTCTTTGTAATTGAATCCAGCAGCTGCTCCAAGTTTTTCTGCCATTTGAAGCTTGTCCTGGGAGCCAATTGTGACCAGAGGAACAGCTCCAGCATTCCGGGCAAGTTGGATGGCAGCTGTGCCCACCCCGCTTGCTCCTGCATGGATTAGCACAGTGTCTCCGGCCTGAACATTTCCTGTGACAGAAAGTACAGGAACCATTCATTCTCTTTACTTTGCAGTTGCTACACATTGTCCACATAGGCATATTCTACGATGATCACCTGGCCCCGGGGACCACCAAGTGCCAAATTTCTTGCTCTCTTTGTCTCTGGTCAAAGTGGGAAACAACTTTTTGAAAGTTATTAGCAGCCACATCCGTAATGTGTTTCACCTATGAAATAATACCCAAACGCACATCTCCAACCTGTACCTGAATAAGACTAACCACCATTCCCACCGTCACCACCAGAAGCTGGTCCCCTTTCAGTCTGAAACTGGCCTCAGCTGATCTCACTAATCCCGGCACCGCACCCAGGCACCAGGCTCTTCCTTCTAAAATGGAGGTTTCATTATGTCACTTTCTCAACGTAATGTGGCTCTCGACTGGCTTTTTGTATCAAGTCCAGACAGCCTGCCATTCAAGGCCACCACAGTCCAGTCCCAGCCTCATTTTTCACAATGATATTGTCATCCTTCACTTCTGAGTGGAGCAGCTAATCTCACTTTTTTCTAAGAAAGAAAAAAGACACTCTACCTTAGGCCACTGTGGCTGCCTTCTGTCCATCGCAACTCTACCCACCCTTCAAGTCCTTCTTCCAGAAAGCCCTCTCTGACCACCTTTGCTCACACCAGCTTTTCCCATCTTGAGCTTCTGTTGTAATTAGAGACAGGGCCACCCTCTGAACTGTATGGCTGTCTAAGCCGTGTGCGAGCTTTGTTTGCCCAGTTACACTGAGCTCCCTAAGGAGTCTCCTCAGGCTCCCTCACGTGACTGTTTGGCTGGCCTCGGTGGGATTGGGGAGAGTAAGAGTTGACCGAATGGCCCCTTCTGCTGCACTCGGGCTCCCAGAGAGAAGCTCAGCATGACTGTGAGAAGCTGGGCTGACTGGTGGGCAAACAGTGTGAAGATCCCACGGGCCTTCTATCCAGTCATAACTGATTTTCAGCCTCAGCTATCAAGCCATTGCTAACAGGGTATGAGGACCTGACACTGTTGGTGGTACAGCAGGGTGAGGCGCTGGGTTTGGGTGTGGCTAAGTGGCCAGGACAGGACAAAGCTGCCCTGGAGGATTACTGGGATTTGAGGTGGCTAAGTCAGGAAGGAATCGTGCCACATCATATGAAGTAAGCAAGGCGGGGGGCGGGGAGCTCCTCACCCACGAAATGTAACAGCTGGAAGGCAGTGAGCCAGGCCTCTGGGATGGCTGCAGCTTGGGGCAGGGTCAGTCCTGCTGGGATGGGCATGAGGAGCCCTTCAGGGACAGTGACATATTGAGCCTGACCCCCACCGGGCAGCAGAGCCATGACTGGGTCCCCGATCTTCCAGTGCCCCTGGCAGCCAGGCCCCAGCTCTGCCACATGTCCAGATGCCTCGACTCCCAAAATGCTGCTGGCTCCTGGAGGTGGGGCATACTGGCCTTGTCTCTGCGGAGAGAGGAATGCACTAAGTGGTGAGCATGATTAGAAATCTGAGTGTCGCCATCCCCAGCCCTCTCCCAATAGCCACCCCCCTTTTTGTCTGAGAAAATTCAGGATAAAGTTGGGTTTTTCTAACGCAGGAAAAGAGAGAGGAGAGATAATTTGTTTCATACAAATAAGAGATGGTAGGTCACATAATCAGTGGATGTCATAATTAGTAAGGTCCTTAGCTTTCCCCCTCATCTAGACCCCTTGTTATACAAACAGAGAAACTGAGGCCTGGGCAGGGAAATGCCTTGTCTAATGTCACAAAATAAGTTAGTAGCAGGACTAGGAAAAAACCGTGGACTCCTAAATGATAGTTCTCATAAAGCAACTGCCAGGACCCTCAGAAGCCTCTGGCCAGGGCTGTAAACCAGAGGGACCGAATGAGGAGTGTCCATCAGAACCATCTGCGGAGCTTTTTCAAAGTGCACCTGCCTCTGGGTCCCAGTCATGTTTATTTTGGAAAAATGCACCAGGTGATTCCCGTGCTTATTTCTCAAATAGCCCAACCAGTGCAGCTGGTCCAGTTTAGCTCTTCAAATAGCACGCAGAAGAAATTTCTGAGTACTGCTCCCTGGCTACTCTGGGACCCTCAGAGTGGAAAGAGTGCAGACTTTGGAGCCACAAAGATCTCAATTTGAATCACAGCTCCCCTAATGTCGTGGTCTTGGATGTATTGCTCAACCTCTTGGACCCTCAGTTTCTTTACCTGTAGAGTACAAATGGTGAACAGAGTTGCGTGTGGAGTAAATGAATAGAGCATGGCCTGACACCCCCCCCCCCCAC